TCTAATAACGAGTCTGGATTCTAGCAAATACCTCCTAAAGAGAGAGTAGAAAAATCAACCACATGTAACAAGGACAGCTAAGTGGCTGGCAGCTAACATGTGCCATTAACACATTTCCCACAGTCAAGGATCTGACTGCATACTGGTCAAGCCTGGAGGCTCCATGCCCAGAGTTGAGTTGAGATCTAGATTCCAGAAGGGCTGAGATAACTACAGCTCTACTATGCTGAATGTATTGAATAAAAAACGAGAACAAGTGTAAATAATAGCTAGCCTAACACTTATACACAGCCCAGAAAGGAGTGGGCTTGATGACCGTGTGGATGAGAAATAGAGGGATGGTGTCATTCAGGAGAAGAGGTGAAACTAAGAGATAACGATGGAGGTGATGAGAACTATTTGTATAGCATTTTAAGGCTTGAAAAGCAATTTCCTCGTGATTGCACATGTGTAACCTATATCAGATTGCTTACTATCTCAGGAAGTTGGGAGGGAAGACAGAAAGAAAGAGAGAAAAAGAGAGAGAGAGAGAGAATTTGGAACTCAAAACTTAAAAAAAAATGCTAAAAATTGTTTTTACATGTATTTGGAAGGAAAGTAAAACACCGTTTTTTAAAAAAGTAATTTCCTCATGACAATCCTGTGAAGTTAGTACAAATATATTCAATATTGTAGATATATTATTGACTTGAAGTCAGAAAGATGAAAGGTCATACCACCTTATGTAGTAGTCATAACCACTCTGAGCCAGTTTCCTCATCTACAAAATGAGGATACTAATAACTGTGGTGCTGAACTCACAGGGCTGTTGTGAGACTCAAATGAGATAATGTATAAAAAGTGATTTGCAAATTCTAAAGAATTATATAAATGCATTTTTATTAAGCATTATTATTATTCTCATTTGACAGACGAGGAAACTGATCTTGAGAAAGGTTTAGTTACTTGACCAAGGGTATCACACAGATATAGCACAACAGATATTAAGTGGAAGAACCAGGATTTGACTTAGATACATCAATGGTCCAAATCTTGGCCTCTTTCCACTAGGACACTTAAACAAGAGTAAGATCTAATTTCATACAATTGTGTATGAGGAGCAAGACTGACCTTTGTAACTTTCCCTCTTTGGTTTGTTATTGTCATTATGTTGTACATTTCCCTGCAGTGCTTAATAGTAAAATATTTTTAACATACGTGAAATAAAAGCTGAGTGGTCTTTTTGTGGAACACTCTAAGGAAAGATTCACATCATCACTTGCAGGTCAAGCAGGTTGGTATGGAATCCCATTTCAGAGAGGAAAATTGGTAGTAGCTAGGTATAAATCATTAAGAACCATCTACCAGTTAGAGTCTGGAAATTCAGAGGGGAGAAAAGGGCGAATGTGTGACCATAACATACTAATGTGACCAACATATAAAAGTAAGGAGAAATTAAGATGATTATTACAAGTTTTACTAAAGGTGTCATTTTTTTTTTGTGGACCAATTAATTTGCCTTTGTATTCATTTATAGATGGAAGTATAATCTTCACTGGATCAATTTCCATAGAAATATGACATTTACTTTTTCCCAAATAAATGCTATTATTCCCAAAAGTATAGCGGAAAGAAATATCACATGTAGGGCTATTTGAATTACATAAACTGAGGCAACAAAATATTATTCAAAAGCACTGGTATAAACTAAATGAAATTATGAGATGGGAATACAGGAGTTGAGATATAATCCTATCATTACATTCAGCATGAGACAGGCATTTATTAGTGTTATATGCCCAGTTTGGGGCCCCATGAAAGACGTACATACTATGAAAAAGGGACCAAAATGATAAAAAAAAAAAGCATTGTGAAACATTTTATGATGTAGGAAAAGGAAATGCAAATTTCATCTATTTCTTTTGTTACTTATCAGGTAGTCCCCAAATTAATTTCTAACATTCTGTGTACTCCTAACTTCATGGTTACCCTCTTTCCAAGCATGTTATCAGTACTGGGTAAGGCTCTGCTGCCAGGACAAAAGGACAAAAGGACAAAATATTCTGCAATAACAGATAGGTTATTTCCTGACACACCATGGAGAACTGTCTGAAGGCACTTTTATCATTACTGGAAGTCAGAGAAAAGTGTCTTCCTGGTACTACATCCTACCTCCTTCAAATGGATCTCACTTGATCCTTGAGGATCAGAAGAAAGCCCTTCACAGGCATTAACTAACTGTATGAAAATATGAAAACAATGTGGAGACAATAATTCATTTGACTTAAAGTTTATATGTAAAACAATCTACCAACTGGCAAACAACCATTTTAAAATGGAAAACTGGCTCTGTAAATAATTAGCATAAAAATGTAATAACCTGAAGGCTGCCATTTTATGTGATGAGTTTATTCTGTAATTCTATAAAAACCCCAGGAGAATAAGCCCAGATTTAACCCATCCTTCTAGATTGTTTCATGCCATCTATATACAAACAGAAAGGTATAATAGCAGGGCCCCTTCATCTTTTTCATGAATGGTTCTCCTAGAAACTAATTTGTGAAAATGACGTTACTAAAAATAAGAAATACTAATGTTATTAATTTTTTCCCTCTTTGTATAAACAGAACAAATACTTCATCCTCTCACATTCTTTATTCACATAATATTAATTACGACCCCTTTGTATGTGAACTGAAATTCAATTAAAGTATCCCAATTCTGTCCCATTTTGAAAAGTAGAAAATGACACAAAATAACATAAAAAGCAAGTGATATTTTAAATTTTATAATTTTACACCTCATCATCAACTGTTAGCAAAACTAACGCATGAGTCTCAAAAAAAAATCTGAATTTTGGAGCTCTTTGTGTGAGGTAATTATTTTCCCTATGACATGTTTGACTATACCTAAAGTGTTCCCTTAATGCAGGAAGGTCTTAATGTGTAGCTATTTGGCGATGTGGGTATTCCCTATTGGTATGGATATATTCAAAGGTGACTCTTCTCTTTAAAAAAGCACTCCTCATCCTCCAACAGCTTAAAAAAAATTCTGGAAACTAAAGAAGCATATCTTATTTACAGGCAACCATAAAAATAGGTTATTAATATTTCAACCTCTTGAATGTCAAAACTCTTAATAGGAAAGAAGGCATAAATATTTTTACTAATTTGGTAAATAAAAATATAATCACTTATACACAGTAGAGAAACATACAAAAGAAAAGTTATAAACTTTTAGAGGCATTTGAGAATTAGGAACAACCTTTAGCGTTCAGTTCACTACAAAGCCTGTGGCAGAAAAATTTACCTAACAAAAAAAAGGAAAAATTTTAAAAAGCAAAAGTTTTTCAGAATATCTTCCCCCCATGCACCTTCTAAGTATCCTCAAGTGGATTCCTGTCTGTCCCAAATATGTCGTAAATGTTTAAAGTGTTTTTTCTCACATGGTGATGAAAAAACGCAGCCACTAACCAGAAGGATCTCAAAAGGAGAAGCTAGCACTGAAGAGAACCTGGATGGGAGATTTTACTTGTGGGTCCCTAAAGGAAAGGACAGGAAAGTGAAACTAAGAACTCAACTGAGCAAATGAAGAGATAAGCATCAGGTAAAGGGACTGGTAGAAAAAATAAAACAGAAAGTGTGACCTATAGAGTGAGAGAGGGAAAAAGACACACAACAGAAAAAGAACACAGACCAAAAGCACATAAAAATAATATTCTCATTCACAGACTAAAAGTCATGTTTCCTAATTTGTTCAGTGATACAAAGAAAATTCTCTCTGTAATATGGTTTCTTATCTTTTTCAACTGTGGATAGATTATAATTATAATCTTGAAGAATGCTTCACTCATTCTCATTGTGCAAAACTCTTTAGCTCTTTGTTTATGGATTAACTGTATGGTGAAGACTAGAAATGTGATTAACAAAAGGAGCAAAAAACTAAAAATATGTCTATCATTTAAAATTATAAATAGCATTTGCTAATAACACAAAGGCAACATTTTTCAATTAAGTTTTGGTCTCTTCATTAAAGGAAGAGATGCTTTAAAACCCACCAGACCAATTTAATTCAATGAACATTTACTGACTGTCTTCTATGGGTGACTGTTTATGTTAGGTGCTGAAATGATGGTCCCTGTCCTTATTCTACAGAAGAAACCACAAGAGCAGCTGATGACTATAAAAGTGCTTTAAGTACACTTCTCAATGAATCAAACAACTTCTCAAAAAAAAAAAAAAAGCCTCATGAACACAGGGTGAGATATGACGGGGCAAAAAGAGCTATCCAAAGTAGTCTAGAAATATTTGAGGCAATAGAGAATACTTTCAATTTGGATAATGGGTAAATGGAAGAATTGGCAGGCTTATAATGAGCTATCAGTTACGTATGTAAATACTATGAAAAAAAGTAAAAATTTTATTTAATTCATAACTTGTCATGTATGAAAGATTTCATAAATAAATCCCTTCAGTAACCTGCACATCTTCCTTTGAGCAAACTCTAGCTTGCTAATATTCTTAAAACTTGATACCCAGTTTCCTCTACAAATTTTACTTATTTGTGTAAATATTATGTCTGCCTAGTAGAATGTAAGCTCTTTAAGGGCAAAGATTATTTTTCCTTTTCTTTTGTACCCACAATGCCTTGCACATATGATTATTGGATTGAATTAAGTGCCCACCGTGTGCAAGGCACCATGCTAGACAACAGAAATGTAAGATATCAAAGCAAAATCAGAACAGCTCCTACCCTTAATAAGTTTGTATTCAACTTGAAGTATATAACATTTAAACAGATGATAGAAGGCAATTTGGGGAGGGAGAAAACACTAACAAGACTGTGTACATCTATTTGTGAAATCAAGAAAGGGTTCATACAGGAGGTGAAATCTAAGCCTTCTAAAAAGCTTTTTGGCACATCATTGGTTAGGCCAGTCTCTGAGGATCTTGCAGTACAGGAGGTAACAGGAACAAGCAGAATTTGGAGAGTGGGGCTAGGATATTTTTTTGATAACTTACCTCAAAGAGATGCTGTAAAGGATTGGACTGAAGTTTTTCTTCATAGCCAAACAACTGAAAACCAGTTCCCAAGAGACCTAATATAATAATCAATAAATGAATACACTGTAAAATGGGATGTTAAAGAGCATGTAATCAGAATATATTTCTATGAAAAAGTTCTATCTTTTATACCAAATTAATGTCTTAACACTAAGGTATGGCATCAGTATCTTTTGATAATCATTATTTCTGTATCTCTCTGAAATCCAAGCCAACCAACATAAATGCTCAGTATAAATTAATATAAAATAATCCCATTTCCCCTATTTTTCTTAGCATCTCTGAATTCCTACACTTACTCTTCATTCTTATATATCAGATCATCTATGACATGGATAATTACATAAAATTAATTTTTATAATACATTGTATATATATCTCATATACATATTTATACATGTACACATAATAAAAGGGAAATTAGAAAGAGGGATATCCTCAGGAAATTAAAATTCCTTAGTTATTTTCAACATAACTGGGATAAGGAAATAATTCAAAGCATTCAGAGACAGATTTCTTGTTCAACTCTACTGAATTAAAAATGCACCTGCTTTTGACCATACATATGTCCTCTGACTATCTTTCAAATGGGATAATAATAGCACTTACCTCCCAGGGTTGCTATGATGATAAAATGAGTAATTATTTGTAAATTGATTTGCAAACCTTAAAGTGATATATAAATCTTAAGCTATTATTATTTATATTCTTAGATTTATTCATTTTAGATTATAAATTCTAGGAGAATAAACACTGTGTATATGAAATTAACTTTATATAATGCCAAATGAAAATTTTGCTTCACATTTTATGCTTAATACCATTAACAAAAACTTTGTTTTTATATTAATATTTATTTCAACTCTGCCAAAACTACAATTCTTTCTAATCAAGAGTTATGTTCACAAACTATGAATATGAATATAAATGATATAATAAATATGAATCACAGTAGTTTAGGTTTTTAATGTAAAAAGCAAGGTATCTTTATAGGAATGAGGGATGAAAAAAATACCTTTCTGAAAAGCTGTGTTTATGCTCAAAAGACATTTTGGTAATAGCAGATTCTACAGCTTAACTCTGAAAGCATGTATGTAGTATGAGTCCATTTACAGTTAACTTCACAGGAAGTAGTACCTGGGGATTTTTTTTTTAAAGTCCATTTGCCTCTAGAACTACAGCAAAATTTTAAAATGAAAGAGGATTGTTATGGTAGATCTTCTAAAGCCATTTCCTCAATCATCCAAGAGACAATGGGATTGTCAGATGTATACTTTTCACGTAAGGTTTGAGGGCTTGACATATAAGGCACATTCAAGTTGTCCAGGGCAGTTAGGATTAAAAAAAAAAGTATACTTTTAAATGAGACTTTACCAAAGCAATATACTTTGCAAACCAGGTGCATTTTTAGTTTGAACAACATGGGCACCATTAGGTACATAATACATTATAGTGAGGAATTTGCTAAATAATCAGCAGCCATGTAGCCATATTCTTAAAAAAAAATGTGGCTGTGATTTGAGATCAAGAGAAGAGGGAGTGGAAAACTGCTTGAATTCTACAAAAGTATAAATGGGAAAAATAAAGACCCTTTAACATTCACTTGTGTGCACACATATTTGTACGTGTGTGCACATATAGGTAGACAGACACACATACACACACACACACACACACACAGTATAAAAAAAATTAGCTATGTGCTTAGATCTGTCTACAAACTTTCTACAGTCTACGTATGACTCAAGACAGCCAAAATTATTCTCTTCCACAATGACGATTATAATGAAAAAGCTGACAGATCATTAACTACAGCAGTACTCCAGAGAAGCATTATCATAATAAAATCCTGGGGCTATAATTTGGTACACCATGGTGACATCTTCTATAATAGCTGCTAAATGTCTAATTTGGTCCAGTTAACATAACACAAGCTGAGGACAACTGTTGAAACTGGACCATCAAGGCTAGGAGGGTGGCATGGGCCTTGGTGCTCCAAGCTATATTCTGGGCTGCAGGTGGATTGCAAAATGTGGAACATGACCTCTCATTGCTTAGCCAGTGAATAACAAGTATACTACAATGAACATTTTTAGTCTGCAAGTTAAAATTTTATTAATCCAAAAGGGTACTGCCTATTCATAATCAGACATTCTGCAGTTAAAAGAAAAAATTCCTTCCAAAGAACTGTTATCTGAATTCTGTTGTCAAAAGTTTGTTTGATTTCATTTTCCTTCCTAAATGCTGAACACATTATATATTTTATACCTGATAGATACTTCAGTTTATATTTCAAAATCTTATTTTCTTTGAAATTAAGCATTTTCAGAAATCTGTTTTAGAAGATTGTAAACGAGATTCTTGTTGATTTTAATAAACACAGGACCTTGTTCATCTTGGCCCTCCCTACTCCAAGTACAAGATTACCTGATCTTCTGGTTCTGAATGTTTTTGGATTACTGGAGGTATTTTACTTCACATCCTGTCCCCTTTTTAACCTTCCTACTCTCTTTTCTCTTTTGCTTCCCTCTGGTAATACAGAGGAGAATGGAAAATGGCAGTTCTTTGTCTTAATGCTGACAGGGGTAAATGATACAATGAGCAGACTCTTTGTGTGACGAAGCATAAAAGAACTGGGCTGGACAGAACTGAAATGACAGGGACATGAGGGCTAGAAGCAGAGGTGTGTGAGGAAAAGAGGATGATGGAGAAAACAAACATTTAACTAAGAAATCCAGTAGTAGAAGCCACTTAAATTTTAACAAATATCTGGAATTCTGCAAAGACACTGATTTAGACCTAAAAGATTATATTATGTAGGTTTACTTTATAGCTTGCCCATTAACTATAAAATCACATTTTTGTGGGAAAAAATATGCCTCCCCCAAATCTTTAAGTCAAGTAGAAAGTTCTACTTCAGTGAATATATTTTTATTTGTGTCCCTGCAATAAAATGAAAAGAAATTAACAAAAACTAAGTCAGGTCAGGTTACATTTTACAATAAAATGGGGGGGGGGGCAGCCAGGTGGCGCAGTGGATAGAGCACTGGCCCTGAAGTCAGAAGGACCTGAGTTCAAATCCAGCCTCACCAAACATTTGACACTTACTAGCTGTGTGACCCTGGGCAAGTCACTTAACCCCAATTGCCTAAAAGAAAAAAAAATGTAAAAACAAAAAACAAACAAAACAAAACAACAACAATAAAATGGAGGGGAAAAGAACTAATCCCAAACATACTTACCAAACTGCATTCCCCAATCTCCAAAGTAATTTATCCTTGTTACTTGGTGTCCTAGTGCTTCCTTGAGATTTGCTATAAAATTCCCTAGTAATCAACAAAAGTTTTTAATTCTTACCATCAATTTAAGCACAAAACCTTTCTACTTCTCTATAACAAAACTCTAGTCAGCACATTGTTCATTTGCTAGAAATTCATCATATGAATTAATTTTTTATTAGCTCATTCATTACACTTTCTATTTATGTGACAGAAACCAAAGAGGAACTGATTTGCCCTTTCTTTACATGAATAGAATTTTCTGTGTTAGTAGGATTTGTGAACAGAAAATTTAGCAATTACTAAACCAATTTCAGGCAAGGAAGGAGAAGACTCAAAATAGTTATGCTTCTGTGTGCTCTATGCAACTTCTACTACCCTGTAAGCAAACTCCCTTTCACCGAGGGCCAATCTGCAAATAATTCACTTTACTTGTTTCCTGAACTCCTGTCTTTTGCTGATGGCATTGCTCTCTTCTGAGGAAAGCATTATATAATCCAATCCACAACCACACCATGCCTAGAACAGTGCAATTCTTCCTTCTGGGTATTTCCCCAATGGTTTTTTTCCTAATCTATAGATGACAGCAAGAGCCATCTTCCCTAGCTATTGACCTGACAGTAATAGAAGTATCAACGTCAAAACGTTTAGATTTTAAGAAAACAACTACAATAATACAAAGGAAAAAGCTGGCTAGTCAGAAGTTCATGTAAATGACTAGGGGAAAGGAGGTCAAAATCAGAAACAAATTAGGTAACAAACACCAAAATATTCATAGCAGCACTCAGTGGTAGCCAAAAACATAAAAACAAAGTGAGTGCCTATTGAATAAAGAAATTGAAAAAACTGTGGTACATGAATATAGGAGGCAGGCAGGTGGATCAGTGGATAGACTGCTGGGCCTGGAGTCAAGATGAGCTGAGTTCAAATCTGACCTCAGACACTTACTAGCTGTGTGACCCCGGAAAAGTCATTTAACCTGTGTCTTAATCCAATGGTTAACCACTCCAGTATGCTTGCCAAGAAAACCCCAAGGACAGTACTGGTGAGCTATGGTCCATAGGGTCATGAAGAGTCAGACACAACTGAACAACAACAACACTTGAATATAATGGAATATTATTGTGCAAGAACAATAACAAAAATGAAGAATTCAGAGAAATGAAACTATTGGTATGAACTGATGCAGAGTGAAATAAGCAAAACCCAAAGAACAATATATACAATGAAGACAATAATATAAATGAAAAGACCACAAAGAGGAAGCTCAACTCTAAGTAATGGAAAACCAGCAATGATCCCAGAGAAGAAATAATGAAACACAACTATCTCCTCATGGGGACTACTACCGTCTACATTTATCAGACATAGTCATGGTATAAAGTGAGTAATCAGTGCACAGCTGGCTGCCTGTATTGAGATACTCCCAGCAGAGGAAAGAGACATTTTTAATCCTCCATTCAATGTTGGTAACCATCCACAATACTAACCGAAAAGACAATGATGCTGCCAACTGCCTAATCATACAGATGCCAATCTCCCCTCCTCTACTCCTTGCCAGCTAATCCAAAGATAAATAACAAAAGCATAAATTTCCGAAGTTGAATCCCTGTTTGGAAAGATATAGATGATACCAGCTCTATAAAGTATTTCTATGACTTCTACCTTAGCAAAGCTTTGATTGCCACTTGCCCACTAATAATATGTCAGGAGCCTCAGAAACCTTTTCAGGAGTCAGACCATTCATTACTTGAAAATTAAAGGAATACTAGAAAAGAAAATCCTTGAAGGGATTGATTGAATGGTCTTAAAAAAATGATTCTCCAGCTATGTTCTGAAAGTTAAATTGACTACTATTTTGTATGATGAAGCAAAATGTTAATTGGACTATAACCTGAGCTGTAAAACTATGTTTTATCTAATTACAAAATACTCTTTACTACTTTGAAAATATATTTTTTTTCCAACCAAAAAATGACTTCATTGAGAGCTATTTTCAGAATCATAGATTGGCTCTGCACACTTTTGGTCCTTTTTCTCTAAGTAGAAATGCTCTCATTAGAATAACTTATAATAAAAATTGTTTATGGCAGGTTTGTATCTAAAATGCAGAGTACAGAATTTACTTCCACACACTTCATAGGAGCATAGGATATTAGATTTAGAAGTGGAAGGATCTTCAAGGTTACTGAGTCCAACCCCTTCATTTTAGAGATGAAGAAACTAAGGCCCAGAGAAGTTCATTGATTTTTCCCAGGGTTATGCAGCAAGTAAGCATCTGAGGCAGGAGTTGAACTCAGGTCTTCCTGACTCCAAGTGCAGCACTCTATCTACTATGCCACTGAGCTAGTAAATGTTAGAGGGGCTATGAGAAAACACACACACTAATGCACTGCTTGAACTATGAAGTAGTTCAACCATTCTACAGAACAATTTGGAATTACACTAAAAAAAATGACTAAACTGTATAGTTTTATCCATGACCAGATCATACCTAAAGGAGGTCAAAGACAGAGGGAAGGTTTCCATACAGAACAAATTATTCACCTCAGTACTTTTGGTAGCAGCAAATAAATGGAAAGAAAGCCCATGAAGGGGGGAAATGGGTGAACAAATTGTGTTATATCTAACTGAATATTATTGTACCATAAAATAATGACAAATAATCTTCGTATGAATTGATGACAAACAAAATAGGCAAAACTAGGACAAAAATTTACATGATGATGACAATATGGCAGAAAGGAAATCAACAGTGAAATGACCAGACGTAACCTCAAAGGAATAATGGTAAATTATACCTCTCTCCTCTAGGCAGAAGTGATCAACTACAGATGCAGAATGAGGTTTGCATTTTTAGGTGTGTCCAAATGTTTATCTGTTTCTCTTAACTGCACTTTATTTATTACTAGGGAGGGTACTGGGGTAGTACTAGGGGAGTAATTAAGAAGTGACAGTAATGTTAAAACTAAAGCTTCAAAAAGACATTTAAAAATAGTAGTGTTACAGCATAGTATAGTGGATAAAAAGCTGGCCTTGGGATCAAATCTCACCCCTGATCTCTCCTAGCTGTGTCAGCCTGCCCTCAGTGACTCAGGCTCTTAAACTGTAAGCAGCAGAGAAGGTACTGCAAAAGGCAGAAAAACTTCCGATCAGGAACTTCTTAAGTTGATGAAATCACAGGGAGAGAAAAAAAAAAAGGCAAAAAGGAGGGAAGGGAAAGAGACAGAGAAGGAGGAAAAGAAAGAGGGTAAACTCACCATTCTTTTGTTTATCATGTTTGAAAGGTTTTAATCTGGGTTTATCTAGCTATCACCACAAGCCAATCAAGTAATTGTCTTTCATTAAATAAGCAATCCTAGTCCTGTTAAGGCACAAGCACTATTCTTGGCTCTGACCACATGACTACACTAATCCCAGTTTATCATTTATTTATTTATTCATTCATTCCTGCCTTTCAACATTTATTCATTCACCATAACTCTGGTATTGAACCTCCTAAAATGTTTATCCAAATTAAAAGCATCATGAATTTAGTTCAAAAGCCAACCTGTTCATAAGAAAAAAGCATTTTATAAAAATGTAAGTATAAAATATAAACACAATATATTAACAAATTGTTGTTATTATTATACTTAATATATAATCTTAATGTAATAGATATAAATAAAAATTTAAAAATTCATAACAAAAATTGGATTTTATTTTGACTGTAGGATCAGTGTGATCAAAGGATGTGACATGGTTGATTTTTTGAAAGCTCATGCAATCTTGGGCAGCATTAAGAGAAGTATAGTGTAAAGATCGAGGAAGATCAGTTACACTGCACTTCTACAAACCAGACCAAAGCTAGAATCTTGTACTCTGTTTTGGTCAACACATTATAGAGGAATGTTGACAAACTAAAAAGTTTCCAGCAATCTAGAAAAAATTTCCTAACTTTTTCATGTAATCTTTTAGCATAAAACAAATTTTAGCCTCAGTTGTACACTTTGTTAAATATCAAGTCCATATTCAGATAAATAAGCACTGTAGTAATTTTGACTTCTAGCACAGTCCCAAAGACATCTTAGTACACACCTATGATTGTAGAACGCAAATGTCCAACATGAAATTTTTTGGCAACATTAGGTGAACTGCAAAAACAAAAACAAAAAACACACAACATTACAAAAATTATATTCCTGTGTAAAGTTTAAAAAATGTAAAGAGTAGACATTAATATAGTTGGTGGAACTGTGAACCAATACAACCATCTAAGAGCAATCTGGAATTATGCCCAAAGAATTATAAAACTGTATGCCTTTTGACTCAGCAATACCACTATTAGATCTGTTTCCCAAGGTGATTAGGGAAAAAGGAAAAGTATCTATATGTTTTAAAATATTTAAAGCAGTTTTCTTTGTGGTGGCAAAGAACAAGAAATTGAAGGGATGCCCATCAATTGGGAGACAGTTAAACAAATTGTGGCATGTGACTGTGATGGAATACTTCTGTGCTATAAGAAATGATGAACTTGATGATCTTAGAAAAACATGGATAGACTTGTATGAAATAATGGAGAAATGAGCAGAACCAAGAGAATGCTGTATACAGCAAAAACAATATTGTTTTAAGAACATCTTTGAGCAAATAAGTCATTTTGACTATTATAAATACCCAAATTAACTACAAAGGACATATGAAGGTAGATACTATCTGCATCTAGAGAAAGAAATGATAAATAGAAGTATATATAAAGCAAGGTGTACAAAATCGATTTGCAGTTCCATGTGCAATAATCTTTTAAAATTATACTATGCTATAGGAATGCTTTTTTTGTTCCATTAATTAAAAATAAAATAAATAAAACTTTAAAACAGTAGAACCAAGAGAACATTGTATTGTAATAGCAATATTGTTCAAAGAAGAACTGTGAGCAACCAAGTTATTCTGAGTACTATAAATGCTCAAATCAACTATAAAGGACCTGTTAAGGAAGATGCTATCCATCTCCAGAGAAAAAACTGATACAAAGAATAGTATAGTTTCACACATGTTTTTAAATCTGCGTTAAATGGTAGCCTTCTCTCATGCAGGGTGGGAGGGAGGAAGACAGTTTGAAACTTAAAATGTAGCAAAAAAAAACATATTAAAACCAAAAAAATGTAAAGGGTTTACGAGAAGAACATTAGGCAACTTCAGGAAAATGTCAACCAGGCAAAGGTCAGGGAGAAACAATGATTTTTAATCAAAAAGAATCTATTAGTTATGAGGTGGCACCATTAATCACAATGACATTACAGGTACCTAGCTAAAATTACAGTCTAATACAAAATGGAAAAAGATTATTTTAAGCAGAAATAAGGTAGCAAAATAGAAGACCGGTGTGATGATTAGAATCAAACGAATAGGAAAATCAGAGATGACTTGTCATTGTGAAGTCCCAATACTTTCAAGGGGATTATTGTGATATTCAAATTGCACTTTTGAAATCCAAGTTCTAGTATCAACAGAATGAAATACTCCATGAAACCATCTATTTCTCTTTTGCTGATTCCTCATTTACTAAGCAGTTTTCTGATTTACCAAGCCTCTGATTAGAGGCTAGTCATTTTCCCCAAATCAGGTTTATATAATACCTGAGTGTGGCCTATTTTTTCCTTTCAAAGAACTCTCATTTTAGGAGTGGGGCTTATATTCAATGGCTACTGTATTTTAAGTCCTCCCACAGAAACACTAACTTATAAGACCAATTGTCTACAGCATTTTTTGACTTTCCAAATAGAAAAATAAAAATTTGTCACTGCTATTCTTTATATGTTACAAAAATAAAACCAACATGTACAGCAATTTTTTTTGTTATTGATATATGTCTGATGGCCAACTATATACTGGTAGGGTATTCTCTTACAGATCACAAACACCACTGTAAGGACAACTACTGAGATTACTTAAAACAACAGAACATAATCCAAATTAACATTTTAATGACTTTGCACAAAGCTTTGTACTCTTAATAGTTTAAAATTCTTAGCCAGTTAAGCAACACATGTATCTCAAAAGTATGCTGTGCAGTGACATTCTTTTACTAAGAAAATAAATGACAGTTTATTTAAAAGAGACAAAGAATTTTAAAACTAGTGTACAAATCTCTGGATTGGTTATATATAAACTCATGTCTCAGATAACGCACCGTGACCTCAAATCCTAATTTCTTTGCTTTTGAGGTTCTTTAACTGCAAAATGATACAAGAATAGTTAATGTTTACAAAGCACTAATCTGAAAAGAATTTTTTAAGTCAGTCATGTGAACTGGTTAGTACCTAAATATATGGACTCACCTAAATTCAACCAACACTTTCTTCTGTGGAAGACCAGAAAAAAGTTCACTTTTTAATCCATATTTTCCACCATCTTCAAATACTTGTTGTAGCACTGTCTAAAAAGTAAATGAAAGTAGAATTTAATTTTTTAAAAAGCACTGTGAAAAACTGATTTTAAATCTTTATCTTATTATTCAATAGAAAACTGAAATTTATCCATAGAAAGCTCTACCTTCAGGAGCTTAGAAAAGCTAAAGACTGAGAGCAAAGAGTCAAATATGACTCCAAGGTTCAGAGGCTAGATGAATAGGATGCTGGTAACATCAAGAGAAATACAGAAGTAGAAGGCAAAGTTTTTTGGAGGAAGATGAGAACCATAACTTTGGATATGTTGAATTTGAGGTGCAATGAATGGATAGGTGGGATGTTGAGATAAAGAAATCCAGGAGGCAGCTGAAAATATGAGACTAAATCTATTGGGAAGAGATTGGAATTGGATATTGAGATTTGGGAGTCACATGAATATGTGATAATTTATGTTATATGAGTCAAGAGACAGAATGTAGATGGAGAAGGGGAAACAAAAGAACCTTGGAAGAGTTAAGAGACAATAAAACTATCTTGGGGGCTAAAGAAAGAAGTGGGTATCCAAAAGGAAGAGGTAGTCACTAGTGTCAAATTCAAGGAGAATAAGGTCATTATCAGAGCAGTTTCAGTAGCGTGCTGTGATAGAAGCCTGATTATAATCTTTATATACAGCTTATTCTCCCTTAATATAGAGTTTGATTAAAGATAGATTTACCTGGGCACTGTGGAAATGGTATTGGACTCGAAGTAGATAACTAGTTCATACTTTAACATACATAAACTGCCTCAATTTTTTATCTCTAAAATGATGATTTAGACCTATAGCATTAACCACACATGGATCAGATGAGACAATGCATGTAAAATGCTTGCAAAGCTTAATGCTACATAAAGTATAGGATGGACCTTAGAGGACATCTAGTTCAACACCCTCATTTTATTGATCAGGAAATGCAGAAGGGTCCAGGGAGATTGTTTTGCCCAAGGTCACACTGGTAAGTATTAAGTACATTAAGGATTCAAATCAAGGTCCTCTAACTCCAAATCCAGCACAAAATGTTACCATCATTGTGTTCCCTAATCCTTATGCATCTATTCCCAACTTTATGTTAATAACTTAAAGTCTTACACAATTTTAGACATGGCCATAATAAGAATTTGTTTTACTTAACTTCACATATTTGTTACAAGGTTTTTTTCTTTTTTTCCAGCTGGGAAGATGATGCATGGGGGTGGGAGAGAAAATAATCCCTCCTAATTGAAAAAAATAAAATAAAATCAACATATACTTAAAAAAACAAAAAAAAAAACCCAACCTCAAGGTCTTATTTAATGGTGTTTCAATGAAATCCAACAGGCCAACAACATACAGACTTCATTCAGAATCAAACCTGAGTTCAGGTCCTCAACACCTCTTATGTGGACTACTGACATACCCTCCTGTTTAGTATCTCTGCCTCAGAATTCTCTTCTCTTCAACCCCTCCAGCTGTGAAAAAGCTATTTTTAAAACAAAGGTCTGACCATGTCATTGTTCTGCTCAAAAAGCTCCAGTGACTCTCTATTGTCTCTAGTAGAAAATACAAACCCTTCTGATTGGCATTTAAACTTGGTGCTAGCCTGTATTTGCAGATATATTACTCCTCTTCATGTATTCTGTGTTGTGCCACGTATAATGCTATTTCTTACATACACTATCTCTGGTCTCTTTGCCCTTGTTCAGGTTGTCCCCCAACCCTGCAATGCATTCCCTTCTCAACTTCTGGAATCTCTAGCTTCCTCCAAAGTTTAACTCAAGAAGTTCCTGGTGCCTACAACTACTACTACTTCTCTACATCCATAATTACCTAACATTTACTTAGTACATATTTTGTATTTACTTAGGTGTATATGTTCCCCTCCACCAACAGAAAATAAGCTCCTTGAGGGCAAGAATTGTTTTACCTCTGTCTCTGTATACCCAATATATAACATAATGCCTGGCCCACAGTAGGTGCTTCATAAATGCTTATTGATTGGAGATGAGCTGGCAGTGAAAGCAGAATCTGAGACTTTTTTTTTGGCAATACACTGGTACATTTCACCATGAAATGAATGTTATCTTCACAGCTTTTTTTAATTGAGTCCCCATGAGCCAACCCATGATAAGGCCTAAAAATACAACTGCAACAAATGGAATGCATAATGATTACACAGGGGGAAAAAATGGAAGGGAAAAGGGGAATTTTTACAGAAACTCAAAATGCATTTCCAGATGTTTTCTTATAGTACAGGCAATTTTTCACATGAAATTCCAATTTATTTTCCTAATGGTACTAATGAAATATATCTAAGTAGAGTATGTCACTAATTAGGTGATCATCAGAATAAGCATAATAGCACATAAAAGGAGGCTAGAAACCACATTTTTGGATTCTACCAGTATAGGGCTAGGCACTGTTATTAAAGAATCACGAATAAAGAAAGGACTATGCTGTCATTGCTGAGGCATCAAACAGTAGAGATGCTTAAGGGCCTCCATTATATTAGATTTTTCTCTTCTAGCTACACAATGAACCAACCTGGTCATCATCCTGGGAGAAATTCTCCATCTGCTCTGTGCCGGCAGCATGCTAGAATAAATTGTGCTATCAAACCTTAAGTGATCATTGAGGTGCTAGAGGAAGTAGAAGTTTTTCATTATTATCATTCTAGATCTGAAGTTATACTATCAAAAAATTAAGCATCAAACCTGCTCTCCTCAGGCGACAGCATAAGAAAAAATTCTAGCTTAAAACTTCCCTGACTAGGCAAAAGGAAATAAAGGACTAAAAAGAGAGTTATGCTTATGTGCATTTGCACAGTTAAAGTTATCAGTGCACGTGTTTATATTATAACTTTTACTACATTTACTATATTTCAAAATAATGGTATTTTCTTGCTATGGGCACTCCTTCTAGTGATGCACATCATAATTCCTCTATGACTTTGTAAGCGGTTTTAGAGCTCTGAAGGGAGCCAACCTAGTAATGAGTTCCTTCGATCTCACCCTGGATGGTTTCTGGACAACAGATATCCAGTCCTTATGCTTGAAGCCTTTTTAGCTTATAGGCCCTTACCAATTTGTGCTTCAGTGGCATAATCTTCAAAAACCAAAGGTCCCTCCCAAACATCAGGCATCAGAACAGGACTCTTGCAAAGGAAGCTTATCCATAAAGGGTGTTGGCTATATGCAGGGTGGTTGTTGTGAGGATCAAATGAGATACTTTTTTTGTTTTTATTAATTTATTTATTTTTAGTTTTCAAGATTCACTTCCACAAGATGAATTAAATGAGATATTTTTAAAGGTAGGCTATATGAGTGGGAAGTCTGACTAGAATAAATTAAAAAGAAACTTTGGTGTTTACCGATTATTAGCTGAGTATATTACGCCAAAAGAGACGAAGTACTCCAATACCAGAAAAGGGAAAAATCCCCAATATTCACCTGTTCATTCAACACACACACACACACACACACACACACACACACACACACCAGAGTCTTTATTGGCTAGCTCACCACTCTGAATCAAATGACAAATGCGCATCAACAAAAAGACCAAAGAATGAAAATAAGTCAACATAAAGTTGTCGAAAACTAATTTGTAACTTTAACCAGCCACCATCAAATACAGGTGTTACTTAATACAAAAGAACATTAATTAAACACTATTTTCTCATTAAAAAAAAAAAGAATAAAAGGGAATGTGGTTCTTTATTAAGTATTTTGCAACTGGCAAAGGAAACTGAATACTTCCAACAAAGGTTGCTTTAGCTCTACTGCTAGAAGCTCTGATTTGGATAAACTGATCATTCCCTTAGAATTACTAAATTGGGGGGAAATGGGTTATATTTTACCTGAAGATGAAAACTTTTAATTCCAAAATAACTTCCTAGCCTGATTGTTTTTTGATCCCTCAATCCCCGAAGATCAAAACCCCTTAGCATAGGTTTCTGAATCTTAGAGGGGAGGGAATTATTTATTGCCTATTGTAGGCACTAGGGTGGAGGCATTATAGGAAGTATTCTATAATATGCTCCTCTGCATATAAGGCATCTTTTTTTTTTTTTTTGCATAGTCAGCATGGAGTGATGCCATCTTAAAACTCTCTACATGAGCAGAAAGTTATCACTCCAAAAAAGTATTACTTTCAGATGTCCTGGAACGTGAAGGAAAAATCAAACCAAGACTGTATCAAGAGGCCAGCAAATTGGGGATGTTCTAAAATAGTGGTTCTCAAACTGTGAGCCATATAATTATTATAATAGGTTCATGAATCTACTGAGAATCCATAAATAAGGATATATACCTTATGTAGACTGAAGTACGCTTTGCACAGAAATAGGTTACTATTTTTCGAATCTATACAGATACTACTGTGATAAGATACCAATCTATTTAGAAATGTTACTGAATTTAGGGTTTTGTTATCATGTATTTCCTCAATCAACAAATACTAATAGAATGACTATTGTCATAAAAAAGCCCATAATGATATCCCCTGTCTTTGAACCGTGGGCAGTTATATAGTTGAAAGGGAACTGGATTTGGGAGTCCTGTTTCTATCACTTGATTATGGACAAATCACTTAACTTCTCTAGGTTTCAGTTTCCTTACCTGTTAAAAAAAAAAAAAGAGTTGGACTAGATGGCTTTTAAAGTTCAGTCCTGGTCTATTCTATGATTCTATGATACTATTTAACATTTGTGCCAAATAATTTTGTATATGATCACATACTGTCTTGCATTGCTTCTAAGGTGTTAAATGAAATCCAGTTTCTTCAATCAGAATGTAGGTTCCCAGAAAGAAGATACTTTTTACACTTCTCTTATGTCTTCCACTATGGAAGCACAGTGATATCTTGTATTTACATTATCTGCATACATGTTGTATCTCCTCAGTAAAATGTAAGCTCCTTAAGCGCAGAAGCTGTCTCATTTTTGCCTTAGCATCTGGCATATAACAAGTGCTTAAAAAAACACTGGCTGAACTGAACCAAGTTATTGAATAATAAGCAGTAAATATATACTTGCTGTTTGAAAGATAAGTTTCCATGTGAATTACAAAAGATTCTATCTTAGAACAGTTTCCATGATTGGAGAATGCCTTTCACCTAAATTATAAAATATGAAATACTAAAAATTCTTACCTTTGTTAACAGCTCTCTGTTTATTTTGAAATTTACTGTCCCAGGTCCAGTGCTGATTTCACTCACTACTGTATCACATTTTAGCTCAAGATATAAACAGATTAAATCAGATATCATGTGAAAAGAGATACATACAGCATTAACATTAAAACAGTTGTTTGGTTTTGCAAGGGCATCTAGTGAATTTTTTTCTTAGTCAATGCATCTTGTCTCTATTCTCCTACTGTTTATTATTCTTTAGCCAGATTAATTCTTTCCAAGTTCCCTTCCTTTGTTTATCCCTTTCCACCTACTCTAATATTCTGGAACATTGTCCCACTCAAGGACTCCATTCTTCTCCTCTGAAATTCTAAATACTTCTGGTAGTGAGACGGTGACTTGCTGTCACAACACCCTATTCATTCTGACATGTAAATTTTATACATTTTATTTCTATCAGCATCACAAGATATGTAGTTTCACATTAAAAGCACTTACATTTATGTATGTAATGTAAATAATTTAACTGGTGTTTAGACAGTTATCTTGTTCTATATGTCAGTTCTCAGAGACTCCTAAGAATAAGTTCCTTGAATTGTGCATCTTTTTAACTTATCAAATGTATAAAAATAATGAGTCCTGATGATATGTAGCTTGGGGAACTTAAGGAAATGGCAAATGTCACTGTGAAACCACTAGCCATTATTTTTGAAAAATAATGTGCCTACAAGGCTTAAGCTCCTGCATGCATATGAATGCACGTAATGTAAAACATTCAGTTGATGTCTAGACAATTATCCGTTATGTTTTTCTATGTATCTGTTCATAATGATGCCTAAAATGATCAGTTTCTTGAATTATGTGCCTTACTTATTATGTAGGTTAACTTACTAACTGCACTCAGATAACAGGGCTGGATGACATAGCCTGGGGAAGTTATGAAACTAGTTGATATCACTGCAGAGCCACTAGTCATTATTTCTGCAAAATCATGGACATAAAGGATCAAAAAAGGACAAATGTTGGATGATATGGTGAGCAAAGAAAGTAACTCAATCCTAGGCTGTATTAATATTATAGCATCCAAACACAGGGGATATAATAGTCTCAACTACACCACCAGGTCCCATGAGAAAGAACTGGCCAATGGAAGTCTCAATATAGTCTCAAATTATAATGGATAGGACTAATTGTTCACAGAGAGACTATAATTTTTTCGGTACATATATTTCTATTTTATTATGTCAATAAGAAAATGTTTTAATATACGAAATTTTACTTCCACAGCTAGCTTCCTGGAAACTTAACCATTTTGTATACTGTAGCAGAAAATGTTTGTAAACACATAGTATAAGAGGTATCACTTATTATGATACAAAGACAAAAAGCAACACTAGAATGTTTTCTTTCTTTATTTGTTTTATAAATGAAGACCAGGGAATGATCTACCTAGAGATTAAAAAAAAAAAGACTTCAAACATTATTAAGATTTTTAAATATCTTAAGAGAAATCCCAAGGAAAAGGACAAGACTTCTTTTGTTTGCCACCAGACAGCAAAACTAGGAACAATGGGCAGAAGTCGCAGAGAGAGATTTTATTTCATTTTACCTTAACAAACATTCATTAAATGGTTACTGAGTAAGCATAATGCATTGTGCTTGGTGAAAACAAAATAATACTTCTCTGCAAGGAACTCACATTCTAACTAGACTTTAAAATAACATTTTAAAAAAGCTTTGTTTTTATTTTGGCTTGACTAAATGGAAAATTTCTGCATAGAGCTAACTACATGCAGAAAACACTCCCTTAGGAGACCTGAGGTCTTCCAGCAGAGAGAGGCTGCAGATCACTTGTCAGGGACACTGTAAAAGGGGATTCACACTTCAACTACAGGTTAACCTAGACAGGACCCCAAGTTCCTTTCCAGTTCTAAGAGTCTAATTTCTTTTGCTATGGATGTCTTTCCTAAAGAGAGTTTGGCTAAGGTGAAAAAAAAAAAAGCCAACTGTCAACTTATTTGCAAGACTATTTTACCATCTTAGTTATCCTTCATTAGCTAAGTCATCTTACTGTTCTATTATAAACCACCTCCTGCCCCAGTTCTCCCCATGCTTCACTCATAATAAACTTGTTAACAGATCTGATCTAACTTCACATTCTGATACCGCTATATGGACAGTTTACATTTGGTCATTCAATTACCCTCTTTTTTTTCAGCTACTAAACAAATTATGGTTATTGGGAGTAAAATAGACTTATTAAATCATACAAACTCTTTCCAACTATTTTCTATTCACACTTAATCATTTTCTTCTCATTCTATGCTCATCTTCATTGAGGACTATTTTAAAATTCTCATCCACTGCTCCATTTATCCACCTCATTCAGCATTTTAAATATATTCTCCCAAATATTCAGAAGTCTGCCCAGAATCAAATAATCTGTAAATTTAATTAATACTCTAGAGTTATCCTCCAAGTATTTAACCAGACAATTAAAAGATGCTAGATTAAATCTTTCACATGATTTGAAAAACAATCATAGTTTTACAATGACGTTTTAAAATGAAATCAACTTACATTGGTCAACTTTGGGCAATGATCACTATAAATCTATGATAAACATGAGTCTGTTTACTCTACTTTTAAATTCTGTAATAAATTCAAAATCTAATCAAAGAAAGACAATTAGATGTTAAAGTACCTTCTCTGCGAGTTTTCGAGCTTGAGCTTGGATATCTGGTTTTGAGTGATCACTGCTGCTCTCTAGCACAGAATGTACAGAAAGTTGGAAATCAGCTACTTCTCTAACAAACAGAAAGAGAATAATATTGTTTCTTCCTATAAAAAAAGTCACAGGAATTCTAAAGAAGGACTATGGGTATTTTCCATTTCTAACTTCTATTTACAATTTAAAAAAGTTTTACCAGCAAGCAAAATAAATAAATAACACTATTCTGTATCTGTATTAAACTTTTTAAAATAATCCTCTATTATCTGGAATACTGCAGTATTCCAGAGAGTTAGGAAGGGCAAATATTATTACTCACATTTTACAGACCAAAGAAAACACCTTTCAAAAGATGCAAGAACCAACAAGGGGAAAGTCTATTCTGTATCCAATTCTCACAAAGGGAAGAATTGATTGCTAGGGTAGAAATGATGGGAATGTTGGGGAAGAGGAGCCTAGATGTTTCAAGATATTACAGTGGTATTGCTTCTTGCCCTCTGGGAGAATGAGAGCAACTGATAGACAGCTTACACAGTATAGTGGCATCTTCAGAACACAGAAGAAAAGAGGAAGGACTCCAGCACATTGAGTAGATCACCTATGAGGTACGTATAGAAAAGCTGCACAAGTTGTACAAGCCAAAGCTGAAAAGGCACGAAAAGGCTTTACTCCAAGTCAGTGGAAAAAGTATCCACACTAATTAAATCAACACAATACTTAAAAGATCCAAGTAAATGTTTCATACATATACTGGAAAAGGCATATCTCAGCCACCAACTACCATATAGCTTGAGTACAGGCTTAGAGGTATTTCAACACAATATGACAGATGTTATGCTAAGAAAGGTGTCAAATTATATTATCTCTAAGGCCCTGTTTAGCTCTGAGATCGTTGGACCAAACTTCCCCAGAGAGAAGTGGGGTGGGAGTTACAGTGAGAGTGAAGAGATACTATATTCTAGACAGCACCAGTATTTCAGGCTACCAGAATTTGGTTAATGGAAGCCCTCAATATACTCCAGTTATCTAATTTGTTGATAGTCACAAACTCTAACCCTATATTTTTTCTTTGTTCTCAATTCTAGTAAAAAACACCACTTTACTTCTCCAAGAGAAAAGCAGTATGGATAACATAGGAGAATTATTAGAACTTGCCATAACAGCCAGCATTTAGGATAATTACAGAATTTAACAGTTGGAAGGGCCTTCGGGGTCAATATACTCTAAAGAATTCCCACTCTCACAGCCTGATCTCTATTTGAAGATATCTGATTAGGAGGAATATATGACCTCTTGAGGCAAACCATTCTCACTTTTGGATAGGACTAATTTTTCAAAGAGGGACTAAAATGTTTTCTGTACATATATTTCTATTTTATAATGTTAATGAGAAAATGTTTTAACATATGAAATTTTACTTCCACAGCTAGCTACCTGGAAACTTAACTATTTTGTATACTGCAGCAGAAAATGTTTGTAAACACATGTTATATTAACTAGAATAGTAGCATCTCAGTTTACTATAAGAAAAATAAGACACTTTACTCTTTTTTGGAGATTGGAACTGCAGATATTGACTTGATCAAGTTTTCTGGTGGAAGATCCAAAACTCTGGAAAGCTAAAATTAAAATAAAAGCAGTACAAAATGACTATTAAAATATTCTTATTCTACAGGGTCATATTCAGTCACAGACTACATATGCATAACTCCAATTTTAATTGACTGATTTAAAAAAATTTCATTCAACAAGAATATCCAATGTTGAATATTTCATAGCAACTAAGTTTAATTAACAGTAACAATTCAAAGCCACATATATTTTTAATGTTCAAGGGTATGACAACAAATTTAGCAACATAACAATTTGGAAATCTGGTCTTTAAAAAGAAAAACAAAAGGAAACAGCCTCAATAAAACTCACACCTCCAGATGGTAAACATGTCTAACTTCTACCACATTGCACCCAGGTGCTTTTAATAAAAGCCATCTGATTATATGATAAAATTAACAAATACTGACTTATGAAATCACTTTAAAAAAACTGTTTTAATTTATTTTGAACATGAAACCAAACATTATTCTTAACTACCAAGATATTCTACCTGTTAATTCTGAAATCCCCTATGAAAAATTGGCTCTATTATATAAAAGAGCCTCACCCAAGTCAACTATAAATTATTTCACCTGGTGAATGAAAACCTTGCTAACAATTAAGTGATTAAGATTTCAAGTGAACAAAATAATTCTGATAGAAAAATGAATTAAACTGCTAGGAAAAAAAGCCATTTTAATTTCAATTATTTTAATGCTTATGGTAATAACTTTTAAGTAAATGACAATGTCAACTCAAGTAGAAAAGCATTAAATTAAGCCACCAAAGGGCTTAGGGCTAAGATAAAAAAGTTTCCATCAAAATCTACTTAAAATTCAGTTTGAAATTTTTGTCCTTAATATTTATCATCAGAGGTTCACAGATTAAGGCAAGAACAGATCTCAAAAGCCATTTAGTCTAACACCTGAATTTTAGAAAGGAGGAAAAAGAGCACTATACAATTACTTGCCCAAGGTCACATAAATTTACTCCTGCATGCACATAGGCACACACAGACCCCAGAGGTAGTATTTTTTTTTCAACATTACAAAGCAATTATTATATGACTAAGTTGACTTCTTCATGTGTTTTAAGTCATGTCTATATCATATCAAAAGGCAAAATAATGGGCAATCAGCACCAAGAGTGTTTAGCATGTTCATTACTATTTGTACTTGTATTTCTGGCAATAATTAATTTTTTAAATAAGGCAATAGGAAATGTTTGTTGAAATGAGCTAAGAGAACGTTACAGTTTCCCAATTGTATAGATGAGAACACTTGAGTGCCAGAGTTCTAACAATCTATCCAAGGTCACAACATCTATAAAAAGCAGGTCTGGGGTTTTTAAAGATCCTTTGAGAGACACTTCCAAAACTTGCCCAACCAGGTAACTACTATACTTTTTGGATAATTTATCTGGGTAGAAATGATACTGCTGGAAAGAACCTAGAAAAACAATGATTAAGTCCTGAAGAAAAAACTGAAGAGCTTGGGGAAACAAAATCATTGTTGTCTCCTGAAGTCAAGAGATTTAGAAGGGAAAGAAAAATTGAGGTCCAAGAATACATCTGGTTAGGAAAATGCTGCTTGAAAACAGGATAAGTATTTCTGGATAACATGTTAAAACATGGGAATGACAGAATACTGGCTAAGGGTGAAGTGCACTTGGTAAGAATTATTGAACTAGATTCTTCCAGGCATTGTACCAAGCAGGGAATATACAAATAGGAAAAAAAAGACATTTCCTCCCCTCAAGGAGCTTACAGTCTAAAAAGGAAGATAACACACAAAATCTTTCTTTGATTCCCACTCATTTTGCCTTAGACTAATCTTTATCTCATTTTTTTCTAACCCCTTATTTCCAGTTCCCTGGTTAAACTGAATTATTTGCAAACCAAACATTGTGTGTATAAATGAGTGGGTATGTGTTCCATACACCTTTGATTGGTTCAGATGAAAGTGACAATCTGTTCCAACCCTTCCTCTTTGTCTTTTACTAGCCCACCCTGATTATATGAGATAGTAAATTCCTCCACCTTTTCTTTGCTAGTGTATTCCTTTTTTTTTATATCATCAAAACATAAATCCCAAATTGAAAATGCCAAGGAATAAGGTAGCCAAATTCCAAAATTACCAGGTCAAAGAGAAAATACAGCAAGCAACCATAAATAAATAATTTAAATATCATGGAACCATAGTCAGGATTACATAGAACCTAGCTGTTTCTACATTAAAAGACTGTAGGGCGTGGAATATGATATTCCCAAAGGCAAAGGAGCTTGGATTACAACCAAGGATCAACCACCTAGTGAAAAATGAATTCAACAAAATAAGGGACTTCCAACCTTCCTGATAAAAAGACCAGAGCTCAACAGAAAATTTGATCTTCAAATATAAGACTCAAGAGAGACATAAAAAGGTAAACAGGACAGAAAGAAACAACATGTTTCATAACAATTGTTGAATAACAAACGTTATTAATAAGGGCAAACTATTTACATCCCTACAAGGGAAGATGACACTTGTAACCCTTGAGAACTGTATTTTTATTATACCACATTAAAGGGGCATACAAAAAGGGGGTGGGTATAAACTGACTTTGATGTAATGATAAAAAAAAAAAAATCTAATCAAGCCAGTTAAATGAACCCAAGTAAGTGGATTAATCTGATCTAAGAAAATGTACTGACAGAAAAGGAAAGGAGGAGGCAGACAAGGGTAAATTACAATTACAGGAAAAGGCACAAAAACCTATTACAGCAGAGAGAAAGAAAGGAGGGAGATGAGCATTGTTTGGCTCAAGAAGGGAATAACATAATCAGTTAGATACTAATATTGATAGACTTAACCTTTCTCAGTAATACAAAGATCTAAGACATCTCCAAAGGCCTCATGATGCTATCCACATCCAAAAAAAGAACGATGGAGTTTGAATGCAGATTGAAGCATACTATTTGCTATTTTTTTTCTCCTGTTGTGTTTTGTTTCCTCTTTCTGGTGATTCTATTGGTTCTAATTCTTCCTTACAACATCACTAATGTGAAAATGTTTAATAGAATGTATATGTATAGCCTATATCAGATTGAGCATTGTCTTGGAGAGGGAGGTGGGGAGAAAAATTTAAAACTCAAAAGCTTATGGAAGTGATTGTTGATAAACCAAAATAAATTAATAAAAAAAAAAGGAAAAACTATGGAATAAAATTTTTAAAAATGGACTCCTGTGGCAGTTTGGTGAAACCTATGGATGCCTTGTCAGAGTAAAGCAGACTCCTTACATTCAGAATTGAAAGAACTGTTAAATTTTAGTCTGAAATTAATAAAAAATAAAGAGGTGCTTTTTCCAAAACAAAACAAGAAAAAACTATTCTAAAACTTCTAATGACATTATAATTCTGAGAAGACACATATCTCCCTCACCAGAATATAAACATTTTATTCTTATTTAGTTCCTTCTGATTGCTCACTTTTATTTACTTATGTTTCTCTCAACTTCAGTGTTTGTATTTCAAAATTTCTACTTCTCTAAGTTCTTTTCATTAAGAATGCTTAGAAGACCTCTATTTCACTGTTGTTGTTCAGTTATTTCAGCCATGTCCAACTCTTCATGGCCCCTGGAGTGGTTTGCCACTTCATTCTCCAGATAATTTTGCAGATGAGGAAACTGAGGCAAATAGGGTCACACAGCTAGTAAGTGTCTGAGGCCAGATTTAATCTAATGAAGATGAGCCTTTGATTCCAGGTCCAGAATTCTATCTATTGCACCATCTAGCGGACCAAGGATAATATTCAGTTTTCCTAGGTAAATTATTCTTGTCAGCCTGTATTTTTTGCCTTTTGATATCTGGCAGTCCAAGTTCTCTACTCTTGAAAAGGAGTGGTTGGCAAATCTTGTATGATCCTAATTGTGGATACTCAGTGCCTAAACTCTCTTTTTGGATGCTTGCAGTATTTTTCTTCAATCTAAAAACTCTTGATGGAAGTTTTTATTTAAAAGTTTCTTTCAGAAGGTGACTAGTAGACTCTATTATTCACTTTGTACTCTGGTTCTAATAGATTTAGGTAGTTATATTCCTTAGGCATCTAATGGGTGGCTTAGGCTAGGGAGCTGCAAACTTTTAGCAAAAAATAAGAAGTCTGACCAAGGGCTTCCCTCCTGGTCTTAGCTTTGCAAGCTTCTGATCCTTATTTGGATCTGAGCCACACAATTATACTCTTGCCCCTCATTTGAGCTCCAGAGGACAGATGCTAGTCTCTGTCTACTAGTCAAGAGGTTCTGTGAGTTCACAATAACAGGGCTGTAGTCACACTTCTGGTCCACAGACTCTACCGTGTAGCTTAGCAACAACCTCAGCTCAGGTCAATGACTATGTCCTTGTTCCTGCTTCAGGGTCAGAATGACAGAGCTAAAGATCTACCCCTTTTTTTAAATTTTATTAATTTATTTTGATTTATCAACAATCACTTCCATAAGCTTTTGAGTTTTAAATTTTTTTCCCCTTCTCTCCTCCCCTCTTTCCCCAAGATGGTGCACAATCTGATATAAGCTACACATACACATACCTATTAAACATATTTTCACATTAGTGATGTTGTAAGGAAGAATTAGAACCAATAGGAGGAACCACCAAAAAGAGGAAACAAAACAAAACAGAAGAAAAAAAATAGCCAATAGTTTGCTTCAATCTGCATTCAAACTCCATAGTTCTTTCTTTGGATGTGGATAGCATTTTCCATCATGAGACCTTTGGAGACGTCTTAGATCCTTGTATTGCCGGGAAGGATTAAGTCTATTAGTATTAGTCATCGCACAACATGGCTGTTACTGTGAACGTTCTCCTGGTTCTACTCAGCATCAGTCCATACAAGTCTTTCCAGGTTTTTCTCAAGTCTGCCTGTTCATCGCTTCTTATAGCACAATAGTATTCCACTATATTCATATACCACAACTTGTTCAGCCATTCCCCAATTGATAGGCATTCTTTCAATTTCCAATTCTTGGCCACCACAAAAAGAGTTGCTATAAATATTTTTGTACATGTGGGGCCTTTTCCCATTTGTATGATCTCTTTGGGATACAGCCCTAGAAGTGTTATTGCTGGGTCAAAGGGTATGCACATTTTTATAGCCCTTTGGGCATAGTTCCAAATTGCTCTCCAGAATGGTTGGATCATTTCACAACTCCACCAACAATGCATTAGTGTTCCAATTTTCCCACATCTTCTCCTACATTGATCATTTTCCTGTTTTTTGTCACGTTGGCCAATCTGATAGGTGTGATGTTGATACCTCAGAGTTGTTTTGATTTGCATCTCTCTAATCAATAGTGATTTAGAGCAATTTTTCATATGACTATAGATGTGTTTAATTTCTTCCTCTGAGAACTACCTGTTCACATCCTTTGATAAAGGTCTACCTCTTGTCAGAGTCCCTGTCCTGGTCACTAACCTAAGCTAAATTCAAAATAAATCATAATACCTGCTCTGATTACTTACTTTTATGCTGAATCTGTAATCTGTGACTTAAAAAATGACCTACTGTAGTTTTTTCTTGTATTTTCATTATCTAGCATGGTGCTCTTCTTTCTTAGTTTTTGTTGGAGAAGTTGCAGAACTGAATTGTACTGCTTCCTCCTACTACCCCATCTTTAAAGACCATATTTTCTGTACCTGCTTCATTGCCTAGCATAAGGTCCTGTAAGTAGGCAATCAATATTTGCTCAAATAAAGTAGGCTATGAGGCTATGAAAGGGCTGTGCAGTTTGAAAAGGTTAATAATCACTACATTAGATAAATATTTCAAAGATTCTTATCAAATAGCTCCATTCTATCTAACCTTCTCTAATATTATATTTCAATTCATTCTCTCTGATTCAGTGAGTCCAGTCTCCTTATTAAACTCCTAACATCCAGACTTACTCCTTCCCCACAACCTTCCTTCATGTTTTTCTCCCTGCTTGGAACATTCCCCCTTACCTTCCCCCTATTCCTGCCATCTTCTTTGTCCTTTCAAATCCAACATATCATCTGTGGGTCAACTTAAGTTCCACCACATTTAACTAACCACAAAATATCAGAATCTCAGAGCTAGAGGGAACCATTCCTCAAAAAGAATATTCATTGCATAATTTTTAGTGTTCTTTTCTATTCGTATCTCTAAATGCTTGGTATAGTGCTTAGCATATAGTAAGTGCTTAATAAATGCTTTTTAAAATTTATTCATTTATCAAGCATAGTGCCTGCTATACCAGGCACAATGCTAGGTATTTGGTACAAGTAAAAAGTACAAAGGATGAAATAGTCCCTACGCACAAGGTACCTTATCCTCTAATGGGTACCTTATATGGGTACATATGAGTATATGCAGGATAAATATAAAGTTAATAAAAATACAGACAGAGTATTTAAATACAAGGTAGTCTAGGAAGGAGCAGTTGGAGGGAACCAGGAAAGGCTTAATGTAGAAAATGATACCTGAGCTGGATCTTAAAAGGAAGAGGACTCCACAAACAAGCAAGGAAGAGTGCATTCTATGCATAGATTCATCCAATCCAAAGGCAGATAGAGTGTTCCTGTTTGAAGAGCAGTGAGAAGATCAAACTTGGCTGGACAGCAGTGTAGTAAGTGGAATAATGTGCAGTGAGGCTGGAAAGACAGATCAGGGACAGGTTGTGAAGGGTTTTAAAAGCTAAACACTGGAATTTACATTTCATCCCAGAGACGAGATAATCACTAGAATTGATGGAGCACGTAATACGGCATGGTCAGATTTAGGCTCAAGAAAAATCATTTTGAAAGCACTGTAAAGTATGGATTAAAATGGTGAGAAATTTGTAGCAAGGATAAACTTGGGAGGCTGTTGCAATAATCTAGGCAAGAAGTGATAAGAACTAAAGTGGTAGTTGTATGAACAGAAAGAAAAGGTCAGATGTGAGAGATATTATAGAGGTATCAATGGCAAGATTTAGCAACTGATTGGATAAGAGGAAAGAGAAAGGAGTCAAGAATAATGTCAAGGTTACGAACCTTAGTGACAAGAAGAATGGTGGTGCCTTCAACAGAAATTGGGAACTCTAGAAGAGGTGGGAGACTTTGGGGGAAAAATGAACTCAGTTTTGGACATGTATGTGAGGCTTCTCAGTGACATCCAGCTTGAATGCCTCATAGAGAGTTGATACTATGAAGAGATGGTAAAACTCAGGAGAGAAACTGATCTCATTTTATCACAACAACTTTGGGAGATAGGTGCTATTATTAACACCATTTTATAAATGTGGAAATTTATCATGTATATGACATCTTTTGTGAATCTCAGTCATTTTTATATAAATGATAGTTTATTCTATGGGAGCCAATGAAATTTTAAAAAAAAAGAGTGAAAGTAGAAGCCCCAGAACAGAACCTTGAGAAACACACACAGTTAGAAAGCATGACAGGACAAAAATATTTATAGCAGCTCTTTTTCTAGTGGCCAAGAACTGGAAACTGAGGGAGTGCCCATCAATTGGGGAATGGCTGAACAAGTTGTAGTACATAAACGTAATGGAATACTATTGTGCTATAAGAAATGATGAGCAGGCAGACTTCAGAAAAACCTGGAAAGACTTATATGAACTGAAGCTGAGTGAAGTGAGCAGAACCAAGAAAACATTGTACACAGTAATAGCAACATTGTGTGATGACTAACTTTGATAGACTTAGCTCTTCACAGCAACGCAAAGATCTAAAACAATTCCAAAAGATTCATGATGGAAAATGGTATTCACATTCAGAGAAAGAACTATGGAGTTTGAATGCGGACCAAAGCATACTATTTGCTCTGTTTTGTTTTCTTCTTCCTCGTGGTTACTCCCATGGGTTCTAATTCTTTTCTACAACATGACAAATGTGAAAATGTTTAATATTTATGTATATGTATGGCATATATTAGATTGCATGCCATCTTAGAGAGGGACAGAAATTTTATACTTAAAATCTTACGGAAGTTAATGTTGAAATGTAAAAACAAATGAATTTTTTAAAAAAAGCATGACAGGGATAATGAGCCAAAAAATGAGACTGAGAAGGAATGGACAGGTACGAGGAGAACTAGGAAAGAGCAGTTTCACAAAAACCTCCCAAGAGGAGAGAATATTCAAAAAAATGTGGTAAATATTGGTAAATGCAGCAGAAAGGCTGAGAATGAAGGCTGAGAGATCACAAAATGTGGTAATTAGAAATTGTAGATAACTTTGAAGAAAATAGTTTCAGTTGAGTGATGAAGTTCAAAACCAGATTGCAAAGGGGCTAAGAAGTGAGGGGAATTGGAGGCACTAGGTATAGACATTTTTTTTTAATAGTATGACTAAGAAAAGGAGGAGAGCTGTAGTTCACTGGCTTGAGGCAATGGTAGGGTCGAATGAAGGATTTTTAAGGAGACAAGTATGTTTTAAGGCAAGACAAAGGATCCAGTAGATAGGAAAAGGTTGAAGATGAGAGAAAGAGAGAGAAAAACCAGAGGAGGATATAATTTGTTAGAGAAATGGAAAGGAATGAGTTCAAATTCACATGCAGAGGGTTAGGTCTTGACAAGGAAAAAGGCCATCTTTTTTGTTGGATACTGGGTGAAAGGAAAGAGTGTGAGATTATATATATATACAAGGTAACTTTGGAGAGGAGGCACTAGCATCTGGCAGGGTATCAGGAACAGTCTCCTGTAGAAGAGGATCCTTGGAAAGCTTTTAAGGAAATTGGGGGGGAGGCAGCTAGGTGGCACAGTGGATAGAGCACCGGCCCTGGAGTCAGGAGGACCTCAGTTCAAATCCGACCTCAGACCAAACACTTGACACTTAACTAGCTGTGTGACCCTGGGCAAGTCACTTAACCCCAACTGCCTAAAAAAACAAAAAACAAACAAAAAATAAGGAAACTAGGGATTTTAAGAACTGAGGGGGAGGAAGATGTATATTCCAAGCTTGGGAGATAGACAAATGTGCAAAGGAGCAGAGATGGGTGATCACATAGGTAGTAAAAGGCAGAAGTAGGGCTCAAACCCAGATTCCCCCACTTCATATCCAGCCTCCTTTCGTTACAACAAATTTGAGGTATTTACCACAAAGATTTTTCTCCCCCACATTTAAAAATTGGTTCAGATAGGAAAAGTGACCTGCCCAACACCACACTGCTGCTACACATGTTGCCTAGCCCCATTACTCCGTAAACTCCCTGAGGGCAGGAACTCTGATTCCTTCTAGTGTTTAACAACGTCTGACACCCAACAAACCCTTAACAAACACTTGAGGACTGCCTGTTTAGTCTCAGGGCTTGGATGAGAAGCCACCTTTCCCAAGAGACTGATACAGTGTGAATTTGAGGGAAGGGAGCTGGCTGGAAATCTTGGTTTCAATGTTGGCCAGACAGCTGGGTGACCAGGGGTCCGAGGCTCCTAACCCGCAAAGTGGATGTTTCAACACTCGCCCTCCTCACCTTCACAGGGCTGTGAGGAGGAGAAAGCAAACCAAAGTGCTCCAGAAATGCGCGTCGTAATGACTGCTCCCACTACACCAGGGGGCAGGCGACAAAGTTTTGCTAACAGACATGACAAGCTGCAAACCCGGCCCCTGTCCTGGTGACTCAAAGCCCTCGGCCCCCGACGCCGACTTCCCTGTGTCTCCAGGAGGAGGACGGGGCTGGGGACCGGGGAAGAGGCCTGGGCCGCCGGTGGTCTCCCAACCCCGTGGCAGGAGGCGCAGGAGGCGTCCTCGGGGATCAGTCTTAGCCGAGCTTCCCTCCCCCACTCTCGGGCGGGCCAGGTACCTGAGAGGCGATGGACCTGCGGAAAGCGCAGGCCATGGCTCCACAGCTCGGGTGAATCGCGACCCCAGAACGGGAGACTGGTCCCGCGAGACCACCCCTCCCCACCCCGCCCCCGCTCGTCCCGCCCCGCCCCTTTCTAGAAGGCCCGCCCCCAATCCCGCGAAACGCCATTCCGGAAGCGGACTGCGAACCAATCGCTGATCAGAAGCTCTCTTCCTCTCTCTCTGACCTTTCGCCCCGCCCCATCCGTCTGCCGCTGGGGAACTCGGGAAATGCCCAATTCCGCTTGAACCTAGCGGGAGCTGGGCATCATGGCTACCTCCTCGGTGTCCAAGGTGAGTGGGCGGAGGGGGCGCGTCTCCGGGCACGCAATGGACGTACCGCTTGCTCGTTCCCCCACTTCTCGGCTACGCCCTCTTCCTCCTCCTCTTCCATGACTGGGGCCTCTTTCTCACCCTCTACCTGACCTGCATCTGGCGTCAGTCCAGGCTTGTGTCCCGGCGGGAGTAGCCGAGGGAGGGAGCAGCCAGGTCTGTGCGCCGCCCGGCGAGGCCCGTTGGGCCAGCAATCAGGAAGACCTGAGTTCAAAATAGGCCTCAGATGTTTAGTCCCGGTGTGACAACTCTTTGCCCCTTTTCCTCAACTGTAAAATGTAGATATTTATAGGATTATCGTGGGGATCAAATGAGATGATATTTGTAAAGCCCTTAGCATAGGGCTTGGCATATAGTAGGCGCTAGATAAATGCTTATTCTTCCTCCACCGACTCCCCCATCCCCACCGTTAAGAAGCAGAGCCCAATTCATAGCTCTGTCCACCTATCTTCTAGTATCGACTAGTAGCTCCTGCTAAGACCCTGACATTCAAGGCCTTACATGCCCCAACTTCCCAGCCTTAACCCGAACCAGAATCCTAAGGTGATATATTTAAAGCGTTAAGCAAATGGAACCATCTTGTCCAACTTCACATTTTATAGATGAGGAAACAGACCCATGGAGGTTAAGCAGCTTGCCTGGGGTCACGTGGTAATAAGTGGACAAGTTAGTATTTGAATCCAGGGCTTCCTGGGTTCCACTGTACACTGAGAACAAAAAGCAGGGTTAAATTCACACCTAGTTCTTGCCACTCTAATTGGGTGCTGTCTCCTTCAGGAAGCCTTCCATTAGACTGTCTTTTGCCTTTCTTTGTGTCCCAGCTGCTTAATACAGTGCCCAGGACACTAAATAAATGCTTCTTGTTGTTGTCTGAGTTTCATTCTTGTAGAGGACCATGACATCTGGAAGGTGATGCCTTGACTTGCAAATGAATTGGATTTAAGTGAGGGAGGACTGTACAAAGTCACCAGCCTCGCTCTCTCCTCCTGAGCCATCTGGGTACAGTGGCAAGACGTATAGATCAGGATGCCTGGAGATGGCCCTGGATGCAGTGGGAAACCTTGTTTCCTAGGTCTCAGTTTGACTTAATGACTTCCAACCAGAAGTAGTTCTCTCCTCAAACCTCTTAGAGGAATTTCCTTTCACTTCCTCTTCTTTACCCTCATCTCACAGCCCAATTGAAAATTTGAATCCTGGGCATGTATCAAACTATGCCAATTATAATTTAGATAAACAGCCACAAAACCTCATAATCCTTATTTGAATGATATGTGGAAGTGTTTCGGTTGAGACCCCTCAAAGACAGGAGTACAGGACGGGGTCATCTAGAATGAATTCACAGGCTCAAGCATTCTTTAAGTCAAGTTGGCAATAAGTTTATTGTTACATTTTTCAGCGGGCAAGGATTCTTAAGGAACCTGTGACCTTAGAGGGGTACAGTTAAAGTTTACATAGGATAAAATACAATAAAACATGTGCCAAATGTGCTAACTGGGTGATTCAGGGCAGGATCAGGGAGTGGTTAAGGAACGGTCAGTTCTTAAAGGAACATACACTTCTTGTATCTACTTCGAAGACCTTTTACTCAGAGTTCACTAGGAAAAGCCCACAACGAGGGCCAAGTGGAGGTGTGGTTTTAGGCCTGCTACGTCACTAAGTTAACTAGAGTTCAGAGGTAACTAAGAGTTGTCCAGTCTGCCATCAGTCAATGCCTTGTTTGACAAGATAGATGTAGGGAGTATCCATATGTCTTAGGTCTAGAATACAGATAACGAGGAGTCCAGGATGTAGATAATGAGGTAGGGCAGTAGTATAGATAGTCCAGTGGGTAAGAGTATCTTTATGACCCAGCGCAAAGCCAGTTCAAACTAATAATTCCTTCAGGTGCTGTTTGTAACTGCACCAGGGAGAAAGAGAAGGGTCTCGCAGGGGCCCACTCAGGAGTAATTGCTAGGCACAATGTCCTTGGACTGGGGAGAAACTGCCAGGGATAGTGTTTCTGAGGCTAGAGAGAAACATGGTTATGGAACTGGGGTTCCAGTACAAGTACCCAAGCACCCCAACAGAAGGGAGGAGAAGGAAGCAGTGTGAGTGCTACATTCATGAGGAAATTTTAGCTCTGTTTTATGCAACAAGCTTGTTTCCCAGAACAGCAGAAAGAGTGATGACTCTGGTGAAGTAGGGTCAAGGTTCAAATCCTGCCTGTGATGCTTGTTACATATCTGACCTAGGGCAAGTAACTTGGGCCCAGGTTTCCTTCTCTAAAAAGTGGGGGAACTGGTCTCTGAGGTCCTTTCCTGCTCCAGATTTGCAATCCTTTGAAATAAAAGCGCTTTGATAAATCCAGGTTTTAACTACTCTAATTCCAGGCCCCAGTAGCTACTATAGAAGGTGCCTTAGGAAACAATATAAAATAGTACACATTAGGCATTTAATAAATGTTTGTTGAAAATACAGGTTTGGGGTGAGAGTTGGGGATGGGTGGGCATGTCACACTTATGAAGAAACAGGATCCAGGAAAACTCACTGGATGACTTGTTGCCATTCTTCTTTCCCTGTTTGCTCTGGCTTCATTCCCTAATTTCCTGGTCTGCCTTGTGAAGTCTTCTGGGGTATAATCTAAGCTCTTCTTTTGCTCTGTAGTGTTCTATATCAATCAGTCAACAACATTGTGTGTTTAGCATTATGCTAAATGACAAATAGAAGCAAATAGTAAAATAACTAGAACTTGCTTTTAAAGTTATTTTTAAAGTAACTTTTATTTTAACTTTTGTCAATTAACAAGCATTAATTTTCCTCATCTCCCAAATTGGGGAGTAGGGGGAATTTTTTTTTTTCAGCCAAAGACAAGGTTTATTAGAACATCTGTCATATTGGGCAGACTCTTAAGGAGTCTGAATGTTAGTGAGGTATTGGCTAGATTATAAGAATCTGAGCACCTTAATGGAGACAAGATGGACCTTATATACAGAAAGACTGTGGGAGGGATCTAGGAGTGGTGAAGTAGTCTGGGTGGGGGAGGGACCGGGATCACGTGGCCAAAGGAGAATGTAGCCTAGCTAGGATTAAGGATGGGAAATGGCTGGGGGCCGTGGGGAGGTAAGACAGTAGACTAGGTTAAGAGGATCAGAATTGGAAGATTTGGTGTAGCCACCATGAAAGACCAGTTGATGGGATTATAGCCTCAGGAGAACACCAGAGATTTGGCCTTGTGGGAAAGTCCAGAGTTTTTCCTTTTTTGGGGGTCTAGATCCCATCCTCATCATTCCCCCCTCAAACAAATGGGACCCAAATTTTTTTGGGGTAAGGGGCGACGGTCTTGGCTTCTGAAACTGCTTCCTGCTGGCAAGGGGCGTAGAGGTTTCCCTGCCTGGGGGGGGGGGGGGGGGTCCCAAAAAGGAGGTTGACTGGAACCCAGCACAGGCTGTATCCAGGGAACAATGGGGGGGTGGGACATTGGCTGGTACCAGATATTTGCTACCAACTGTAAATGAATAGGCTGTAGTCTGGAAGATACAGATCTGACAGAAAAGACTACAGGGATCCAGATATGACAGGATAAAACAGCCTTAGCTGTTTGGATTCAGATAATTCAGTTTTTCAACCATGCTGTATCAAATATACCTCATAGCCAGACTTAGGAATAGCCAAGTGGGCAACATTCCTTTTCAAAGGAACATAATGGAGAAGCCGAGCCAGGAGGATCCCCTCTTAGATTGAGGCTAAAATTGTCCTCTCATCTTTTCCCGATGCTGACTTCCCACCAATATCACATTCTCTCTGAGTAGCTTGTGGCATTTCTCTCAGATGGTGGATTATTGATTATCGATGGATTATTATGATCCATTAGACAACTCAAAATAAAATCCTATGAGCTCTTACCTTAAACAGCAAGTTTCACTAATTTAGGAAAAACTTTTCCAGGATTTAGGGTTATTTCTATATACTTGCAAATTCTCAGCAAGACAAAACCCAAACAAGTTTTTTTTTTGGCAAGTTTGCACATTAAAACAATAACCAACAATAGCCAAATTTTTTTATCGGGAACCAAATTATGAAAAGTTGCTTGACATAATTGATACAAAAAGTTCACCAATTTGAAACGTGAAACAAACCCATTACCAAACAGATGACTTCAGTTTTGTTAAATGCATTTCCAAATTACTTTACACAGAGAATCAACATCTCATCATTAACAGTTAAAACTACAACTTTAAAAAAAGCTTGCTTACCCTAGTTGGGAGGCTAACTTCTTTATCTTGAGCAGGATGTGCTGAACCTGGGTGATGCTTCCAGGCAAAGGTTGCCCCAGGGCCCAAGGCCATTGCCAGTGGCGCCCATGCTGTAGTTGCTGCCCCTCCCCCTCCTTCTTTTCCTCAGGCGGGGGAGGGCAAAATCAAAGGTGAGGGGGAAAGGGTGAAACTCTCTTCTCCTAAGAGAGGGGTTAACAGATACCCTCTTGACTCAAAGGAAGGGAGTGACCAGAGTTTTAAGGAGGTGTTTCAGAATTCCTTAATGATTAATCACAAAATCTCCAGAATCTGTTAAGATGTTTTTAGCTGTTTTAATTTTTCCCTGTAACTTCCATGAAGGAGGATTCTGGAGTGTAGAGGGGAGTAAGTAAGCCTCAAGGAACCAGAAAGCAACTGTAGTTTCTAGTGCTGAGAAAATTGACAGAATTGTGCATATGCTCCCAGATAGGGTGTCCATCCTTGTCCTCTAT